GCTGAAAGGGGAAAGTGCTAGAATCTAGATCAAATACATACAAGCTACAAACCATCGGCATTATTGTGCAACAGGAAATAAAAACATACAATCTGAGTTAAAGAAAGCACAGATTAGGGTGATGGAAATTAGAATTAATAAATAACCTACATGCTGAAGAAAGGAAACACAAAGATGTCATAAAATTGGTCCATGGGGTGGTGAAATTTGACTAACATGCTGGAAGATATTGATTGGAGATTAATCGTCTGATAAAAAATAATGTTTAAAAACATATAGATTGAAAAATGAAAGCTACCAAATAACACTCACAAGACATGGAGGAGAGCAGACATACTTGCTATAAATGAAAGGAATGAGTGCAAAAACAAACTGAATAGAATAGATCAGGATAAGAATATAAGCAACTCACATACTAAAAAAGAAATGTCAAAAATGGGTTGCTCAAGAAATATACAGTGAAGAACAAATAACTTACATACTAATAAACATGAAGACAGATATCTGTGACAAGGGTAATTCATGACCAAAAGCAAAGCAGCTTACCCCCTAAGAAAGAAGCACCAAAATATGTGTTACCACAAGAGTGCACATTGAAAACCAGGCCAACTCACTTTCTAAAACAAGACATGCCACAGTCTGTGTCACCAGAAGAGTGCACATTAAAAACCTAGCCAACTCACCCACTAAAACAAGACAGGCCAGTCTGTGTCACCAGAAGAGTGCACATTAAAAACCAGGCCAACTCACCCACTAAAACAAGACAGGCCACAGTCTGTGTCACCACAAGAGTGCACATTAAAAACCAGGCCAACTCACCCCCTGAAATAAGACAGGCCACAGTCTGTGTCACCAGAAGAGTGCACATTAAAAAACAACTCACCAACTGAAAGAAAGACAGGCCACAGTCTGTGTCACTAGAAGAGTATGCATTAAAAACCAGGCCAACTTACAGTCTGAAACAAGACAGGCCACAGTCTGTGTCACCACAAGAGTGCATTGTGAAAGGAATGCTAGCTCACCACCTAAAAAAACACATGGCCAGATTATGTGTTTTAGAAGTGTGCAAAAACAAAATGCCAGAAAGCATACTTTCTGAAATATGTCAAAGCACATCATGATCACCAGAACAGTGCATGAGAAAAGGAAGGCAAGAGAATGAGTCACCAGAAGAGGGAATAATCAATAGGGAAACATCTTACCCCCTAAAAATGATAGGTTCAGCACAGAATTGAGTTGGAAGGAAAGAAATCATAATTACTTACCCACTAAAAAAATCTGTTGTATGCATATAGAGGCATTGTGAATCGACAACATCTCACCACCTGGATTTATAAACAAGCATATTAGCTGTATAAGTAGCATGATCCACAGTTATTACTTACTTTCTGAAAGAAATAGACAGCTGATGATAAGATGAGACCTATCATCCAAGATAATTGCCTACAAACTAATGTGAACCATTAGAATATATTAACACTTGAACAATTTGAAGACATACATTCTGCAATAAAAAACAACAAGAATAAAACTCTGCTTTTCTGGGTAATTGTTCTGTTCTTACTTTCTGTGCTTTATCAACAGCAATAAAATGTTATTATGTCTTGGCTTACATTCTGTAAAACAGGTCAATATTTTATTTTGATACCTTTTAGTTACTGTTTATCACCACTTACCTCCTATTCACCTTACAGATTACTTTTTGAGCAGTATTATTCTCCTGTTACTTACTGTCTATTGGAAGATCTTGATAAATCAGTGGATATATCCCAATTATAAACTCTTACTTCACACAAATCAATAACTTCTTGAAATAGCTCTCCCAAATTTCTTGTAACAATTGACCCCTGTGATGTCTTATACATGTTAGAGTGTGATGGCTATCTTGAAATTGTAATTACTAACTTTGAACAAATCCTTTGCATCATGCATGCACTGTAACATCCTCTCTCTGTCATCATGTGCAAAAGTCAGCATGGTATTATACCATGTCTTACCCTGAAAAGTCAGTAAACTTTTGATGAGAGTTACCAAAGACATCATGATTGTTCCATCCACATTTAATTGCTGCTTCTGAAATCCTAACAGAGTATGCTGTGGCCAATTATAGCAAGCATAGTTGGCCACATGACCATCAATAATGTCTTTTGAAGGGTATTTTGCCAGATGTTCCAAACAGTGTATGGCCAGATGAAGGTGTTGCAGAGGAGGATCAATAAAATATTGCTCTGATTGTGAGTTGTTGGTCAGAAAATCCCGAAGAGATGTGTGATAGAGCATGATGGGCTGATTATCATCTCCAGGAATTTGGATAATTGACTGTACCCCCAGTAGCTCATGAATAACCTCCTCATGCTGAAGATTGAGGAGGGAGCTAAAGAAAAGAGATAGATTGGTTGTCCTCCAGAATCATGATTGTTCCAAGAATCTGATAAAGAGCTATTGTCCCAGAA